AATTATCAGAAATTAGCATGTTGTCAAGATCTAATCTTGGAAGACTAACACTGTGACATTTTTTTATCGCCTTAATGAAGTGTGGGAATACTATAAACATAATGTATCTTGAATTTAGCAAACATAACCATAACATGCTTTTTTCAAATAATTTTATTAGAGACTACAGTTAAAAAGAATAAAAACTATACAAACTTCAAAAATATAAAAGGAAAAATATAATGTGAAAAACAAAATAGAAGAAACTTTCTCTCTCATCTCAGCAAGTAATTAAATCTATCACCATCTTTTAAGTTAAAATATATACTCGCTTCACCTCATATCTCATCTCTTAGCTAAAAACAACATCCATCTTGTCATGAATTCCTTATCAGCAAATGTCCAGTAGGGGTTGTCGGGTATAACTTAATCCCTTGTCAACGAAGTCAACTTTGTATTCCTTCCCTAATTTTTTTAACAACTTAATTCTTAACACCTTCAAATAGAGTCTTGTAGCTTGTCATCTTTTTTTATCCCCCAATCTTTGATAACTTCAGCAAGTCTCTTTTGTACATCTCATAAGAGGAATTCATCCTTTTGTGTCACTTCTCAAAAAACTCTTCAAAACTTTAACAGATCTGTTTTGTAGGTCCAGCAAAATAAATAAATAAATCCATCTCTCTTTTCTGATTTGATAGTTGTATATCTCCTTTAGGCATTAGGCATCAAGGGGCTATCCTGGAAGAGTACAGATAGTCCTCAACTTACAACAGTTTGTTTAGTGACCGTTCAAAGTTCCAACAGCACTGAAAAAAGTGACATGACCATTTTTCATTCTTATGACGATTGCAGCATCCCTACAGTCACATGATCAAAATTAGGATGCTTGGCAACTGGTTCGTTTTTATGATGGTTGCAGTGTCTCCGGGGTCACACAATCATCTTTTGTGACCTTCTGACTAGCACAAGAAAAATTAGTGGGGAAGCCAGATTCACTTAACAACCATATAGCTCACTTAACAACTGTGGCAAGAAAGGTCATAAAATGGGGCAAAATTCACTTAACAAATGTCTCACTTAACAACAGAAATTTTGGGCCCTAGTGTAGTAACAGAGAAGCCACTACTACTCTAAACTTGTGGGGGTTTTTTTAGTTTGTTTTATTCTTTTGTAATTTTAATCTGTTTTTGTATTTATAATTGTTTTTAATCCTTGTCTTAATATGTTGTGAGCCACTTGGAGTTGCCTTAGGCTGTGAGATGAACACCATGTACATTTGATAAATAAATAAATTAGAGCATTCTTTTTCATTTGAAAGTTCATTATATCCTTTTCTTTATCCTTCTCATTACTTGCCACATTCATATCCACATTCAGATTAATTTCAAACTTATCTAGAGTCATTTGTTCTTCTTCAATTGCATCCTTAGCAATCCATCTATTCATTTACAATAATGTCAATATTTTTAAGTTATGCAATTACTTTTTGTAATTTTTCATCAAAAAATCTCACTGCTAGAATATTTCTCGCATCTTCATTCTTTTGTTATCCTCTAGCTCTCCTCTAGTGTCCAACATTTAAAATTCCATTAACTTGTTTTTACTGAAGAAACTATAAACAATGACAATTTCCCATGGGAAGAATTCTTGCAAAAATTTAAAATTGTAATTGCAACTCCACTTGAGCCCTTAATCTGTTGTTAAATTTTCTAAAACTCACCCTTTTTCTGTTTAATCTGAAAAAATAATACTTTTCAAAAGCTTTTAAAATTATATTTAAAAGCTCTAAGGAGAAGACAACTCACCTAGCAAATGCAGTATAACTTACTGATCTGAAGGGTTTTAATCCTTAATGCAAATTCAGAATAATTAAGCATTGAAGCTTGGTTAAGCTTAATTTTCTTTAAAAAAAAGGTTGTGTTGATGACCATGAATAAAGATGCTTCCTCCCTTGATTTCCAGATGCTCAATTCATAAGCATACTGTAAAATGACATTCCTATGGCTTACTCATGAGAGGCTGATGTGCAGACTCACATGGGCTATCTCAATTTCTCCCCTTACCATGGAGAGATATCGGTGGCCTGGTTCTTGCATAATGCTTTTATGTTACAAAAAAGGGACATCTAGCTAGCCATGGCTTTGAACGAGAAGTCCTTTTCCATTACATGCTGACTAGGAAACCAGGCAAGCTGGATGCCATGATAATTAAATGGATATAAGTGTCATGAGAATCTTACTCAAGAAGTGCTTCTTAATGGTTCATCAATTTGAAAACAGATAGCAAGTGGGGTTCAATAGAGGTCATTCCTGGGCCTATACTCTTCAGTATTTTCTTTAATTAGTTGGATGAAGAGATTGAGGAAATGCTTGTCAAATGTTCAGATGACATAATACTAAAAGGGAGAGTTAATAATTTACAGGAAATGTAAAAAGTGATCTTGATAGGTTGGAGAAATGGGCTTAGGGAGAAAAGCGAAACCTTTTTAATTTAGGAAACAAAAATAAAATTCTCAGGTGCAAGATAGTTGATACCTGGTGTATTAATGATATTTGTAAAACATTTTTGGAATAGTGGTGAATTACAATTGAGCCAGCATTGCCAAAATGGCAAATCAAAATCTAGACTGCATCAGAAGAACTATTTTCAAAGGACAAGAAATAATTGTTCCATTTTATTCTGCCTTAGTTAGACTTAACATCCTCTGCTGGGTCTAGTTCCATATTATGCCTCATTTTGAAAACAATTCAGAGAAATTGGGACAGGCAATGAACACAATCGGGTCTATGAATAGAGGTTGAAAAAGCTAGGTATGTTTCTTCTTCTTGTGCCATATCCGTTATTGGATGTTGGCGATCATGTTGGCGATCCTGTTTTTATCAGCAGCCGCATGAAAAAGTGCTGCTGAGTTTTGTCCAAACCAATCCCTTAGATTTTGAAGCCACGATGTTCTTCTTCTGCCTGGACCTTGTTTGCCTTCAATCTTTCCCTGGAGGATTAAATGGAATATGCCGTATTTTTTTGGGTGTTGAATCGCATGTCCAAAATATTCTAATTTTCGTTTTTTAATTGTTTTGATGATTTTCCTTGGCTTTCCCAGGCGGCTTATCACCTCCTCATTTCTGATCTTGTCAACCCAGCTTATACGTAACAGCCGCCTGTAAATCCACATTTCAAATGCTTCTAGTCTTTTCAGGTGGCCTTCTGTCAGAGACCAACTCTCTACTCCATAGAGCAGGATAGAAAAAATATAGCATCTGACAAGCCTGATTTTCAGTCTTAGCCTTATGTCGTGACTGCAGAAGACCTTTTTCATTTTGAAGAATGCTGTTCGGGCTTTTTCTATCCTTGTCTTTACTTCAACGGTCATGTCCCAGCTTTCATGTAAATTAGAACCGAGGTATGTGATCCTTTCAACTTTTTCTTGTGGTATTCCTTCTGAATTTATTGGTGTTAAATTAACGGCTTGTTTGCTGACGACCATGATCTTGGTTTTTGAGGTGTTAAGCTTCAAGCCGTATTTTTCAGATATTTCTGTGACTCTGTTGATGAGCTGAAGGTCTTCATGCTTACTGGCAAACAGAACTGTATCGTCAGCATATCTTAAGTTGTTGATCCAAACACCATTTACTTTGATGTCAGCATTGATGTTCTCCAGTGCCTCGTTGAAGACTGACTCAGAGTAGATATTGAACAACAGTGGAGACAGAATACATCCCTGTCTGACCCCTCTTCTTATTTCTGCATCAGCTGAGTATTTTTGGCCTAGTTTCACATTTGCTACCTGATGTTTAGCTGGGTATGTTTAGCCTTCAGAAATGGTAATTGAAGGGAATATTCTTCAAACACCTGAAAGATTGTCACACAGAAGATCAATACTTTCTGTCTTGTTCCAGAATGCAGGACAGAGAATAATGGATTTAAGTTGTAGGACGGCAGATTCTGATTGAATATTATAAGGTTTGACAATGGAATTATTTATCCAGAGAGGCAATTTCCCTATTTCACCTTCATGAGATATATTCATGCAGATGCTAAACAGCTGTCTGCTGGGGTGCTTTAATTTAGATTTCTGCCCTGAACATGGGATTCAGCCCAATGGCTGAGATGATCTTTTCCATTTCCAAGGTTCTATTCTTTTAGGGGGAGTTCATAATTGTGTTAAGCCATTATGGCTTGGTTTTTGCATAATGTGATATAAATATCAACCAGAATGGTTTGTAAACCACAGGTTATAACTTAATATGTGTGAGTTTGATCAGTTGTGAGTTATTAAAATGGCCAGATTTCTAGTGTGATTTCTGGTATCTTTCCAGGATTATGGGGAAGAGATTAAAGGCAGGTTATGGGACCAGCTTAGTCACCAAAAGCTTCATTCATATCCCCAGTCTTAAAATATCCATCCCTACTCAACACAAAATTAATTGAAAATTACATTGCTGGAAGACTGAATTGTGACCCCCATCTATTTACAAGATGTCCAAACTGTATGATTTGCTTAGTGTGATGTGTCAAATTCAAACTGTGAATGGCTTGCTTATTATGATGTGTCACTCTGTAACAGGTCTAAACCAATGGAAGCTTCAAATAGATTCTGATAAAGTTATGTGGTTGGTAGATTGAATTTCTTTGGCTGAAAGGATTAATGTTAGAAATAACTGCCTATTACTAGTATATAAGTCAGTAGAGTAAGTAACATATGATAATATTCATTTAATTAATAACAAGATTACTATGGTATCACTTTAAAGATTTTCTCAGCTATACTAGAGAGCCTTACAAACCTTTTCTATCATACAGAGAATCTCTCTCTTCTGAATAGAAAAAAATCCTAAATACTGACTTTGATTTTTTTGTGTGTGCAGGCAGTGCAGACTACCGAAGAGCTGAATTCACTGAAAATATCTATGAACAAAGAGCTTGAACAATGTACAGGTGAACAAAGGCTTCAGCATGGAGGAGATGAAGATCAAGAAAACGTGAACTATGACGCCTGACGTTCTTGTACAAAAACTGAAAACATGACAACTTGGCAGAATGGCTTGGGAAATGCCACCTCTGTTATCTGTATAGTAATGGATAATAAAGAATCAGGGAGCAATACTACCTCATTATGTCATAATGGGGGGATCAGCACAAATAACAAAAATGGAAATAACAATCAGGATGATAAAACCAGTCCTTCCAAAATAATGCATTTTTTCCCCACTCCTAGGAAGAGATCCAGCTCCAATGTAGAACGACCTCGTTCAGTTATAGTTATGGGGAACTCGTCAACATGGAATGCTTTGTCTTCCCTTAAAAAAATGGGATCTTTCAAGAAGTTAAAATCATCAGTTCTCCAAGGAATTCCAGCCAAAGAGGATCCAGATAGCTTAAAGGATAACCTGCCAGAGAACAAAATCAGGAAATACATTCCAAACAATACAACGGTAAGAGTTCAAACAAACAGGTATTCTTATTCAGAACCTTTACATGACTTGCACAGCGCCAGTGATATCACAGTGGTTTCTGATAATTCTGATGGAGAGGAAGATTCCTTCCTGAGGAACACTCATCGATCACGCAGCATCAGGCGTGCTTATGCAACTGGCCGTATAAATTTATTAGATGGTGATAGAACCCAGGACCCACAGAGCAATACCAAAATAGTCTCCCCTGTCATGCAGGAATCCCAGATTTGTGAAATTGTAGGAAAAGATCCAGAATGTCCCAAAGTGATCTACAGGAGGAGTAAGAGCAGTGATAACCTGAATTTTCTCAAAAAGAGTTCATTCAAAAGGAAGTCAACCTCAAACCTCACCGACCTGAAAGCTGTAAACGAAAAGCATTTGCCAAGAACCACGAGTATGTCGTCAACTGACTCAGACAAAACCAACAGGAACTCAGAGCGGAAATCAAAACGTTGGAAGAGCCCAATTAGAGCGAAGGATTTTGACAGAGTTTTGAAACTTGTCAGTAACGTAACTGATGGTGCTTTGAAGAAGGACTGTCCTAGGCCTGATACTTCTTCCCCTGGTGAACAGAACCAAAAGACAAGACCAAACAGCAGGCTCCATGAGGACTATTCCCGCAGGGTTTCCAGCAGCACTGAGAACGATAGGCAGAAGTGTTTGTCATCCCGGCGTCACCCAGCCTCAGCTCCTTCCAGGTACAGCACCCAGTGCTCCGAGGATGACTCTGCTGGATCACCATCTCCATTAAATGTTGATGCTACTGGCTGTAGGATGTCATCCTGTAATCTTTCAAACTTGGTTTGTTCACCACCTCCACTTCAGAACCCTGGGTCAATTCCTGATGAAGTTTTCCATGAAGATTTTGATGGATCAAAAAATTCCAGCCTATTTACATACAGCACTGAGCCCCCCAACCATCCTGCTAGACCCACTGTTCCCAAGCCTCAGAGTCTTAGTGCTGAAAGCATCAAGTGCAGTATGGATGTCCATTGTCCAGACCGGTACAGTACCCTGTCGCTCAACTCAGTGGAAAGTGAGGGAAGAGGGGAGGGGTCGTCTGCCAAGTTGGGGAAGAGGAGTCCTGTTTGCTTCCAGGATTCACACGTTCGACACATGATACTGCTATGTTTACTTCTGTCACCGTAGTCGTCGGTAAGAGTCGACTCAGAGTTGAATCGATACTCACGACTACTTTTCTTCCTTCTCCATTCTTCCTTTCATTCGGTGAAAAATTTTGTTAGCCATTACGAAATATACCAACAGGATACCGAATCGATAGAACACGGATAGACATAAAATTCTTTCCTAGAATGCTTTCCTTTATTTTTGCAGAAATAAATCCCCATGGATAGAACTTTTTTAAAAATGAAAGTAGCTCTAATTTATTTTGCTTCCCTATACACAAGAATCATAATAGCTCTAGTGGAAAGGTTGCTTATAGACATTTTCAAGGACAGCTTTATTGCGTTTCACAAGGTTAGAAGCTTGGGGCAGGATCAAGACCAAGCAGGTCTAGTGAAGATTGCTGGATTCTTGACAGAAAACATATAGTACAAACTACATGTCCGTTATGTTGATGGTAATAAACTGGTAACTGATCTGGCAACCAGCCCTAAACTTGTTAAGCTTATAAATGCATAATGTATATGTGAATATCAGTATAGCATATATGGCATATATTGTGTTTAAATGGCAATATATGTTGGTAAATGATTTAAATATGCATTGGTTAGAAGTAAGGATACCATTATTTTCTATCACCAATTTATAAAGTATCATCTGGGATATAATGCAATTATTCTGATTTTTGTAAACTTTCTTGTTTTTTCCTTACATTTTGCTTCTTTCCTCTCAGCAGCTCTAATCTATATAGCGTCAAATAACTCGTAATCATTAAAATGTTTAACATTTTAAGAGCCGTGGTGGCGTTAAGAGTCGTGGTGGTACAGTGGTTAGAATGCAGTATTGCAGGCTAATTCTGCCGACTGCCAGCAATTCGATTCTCACTGGCTCAAGGTTGAATCAGCCTTCCATCCTTCCGAAGTCAATAAAATAAGGACCCAGATTGTTGGAGGCAATGTGCTGACTCTGTAAAACCTCTTAGAGAGGGCTGCCAAGCACTATGAAATGGTATACAAGTCTAATTGCTTTTGCTATTGCTATTTTGTATTAGTAAGAAAAGTGCTGTGGTCACTGTTTTTGGCTGTGTCCTGAGAACATAAGCAGTGTGTCCTGTTGGATTAGACTCCTGGCCCATCTAATCCAGCAGTCCCTTCTCACAGTAGCCACCCAACTACACAGGAAGCCCCTGGTCTCCCAGCAAGTGGCCTTCAGAGACAATCACACTATCATCAAGGCTGATAGTCATGGATCCCCATGATTTCCACGAACTGATCCAATCCTTTCTTGAACCAGCCAAGCTGCCTCTCATGGTAGTGAATTCCAAAGTTAAATTACATGTGGTATAAAAAATATTTCCTTTGGCCTGTCCTGATGCTTTCAGGATTCAATTTCACTGGGTGACCTCTAGGTCTAATATTTGGGGAAGGAGAAAATAGTTTCTCCTCGTTCACTTTATCCACACTGCCTTTGTATATCTCAGTGATGTCTCCTGGTTTTTTTTTAGACTAAAAAGACCTAAATATTGCAGCGTTTCCTCATAGGGAAACTGCTTCGGGGGAAATAGTAAAATCAACAGAAAGAATGTTGAAATTAGTAATATCTAAAATTATGGGTCTGAACCCGTAAGCAAAACTAAAAAATTTTACATTTAAAGACAAGGAACACTGAAATGTCCTACCGAACTTAAAACGGATGTCATTAATTCCAAGTCTCGGACACCAACGAGTTCTAAAAATGACCTTTTCTGAATTCAATCCTATTAAAAGCATTTTGCCCTTGTCCTCCAATTGCCATCTACAATCTCTTGCCTTTTCAGTGTTCTTGTAAAGTTTGAAGGTTGAAGCCTGAGAGTAGAACTATGCTAAATACGAGAAGTGTGTGGAAGAACAGGAAAAGGAAACTGAGTTAACAACTTGTGGCTTTAAACTTAACTGCTTTTTTTAATTTTGTTTCCTGTTTCTTAACTACCATTCTTAACTTGCAACATACGCTGACAGTGATGATGTTTCAGAAAGCTTTTAAAAGCTTCCATATAAATTGAGATAGACAGGCATCTTTCTTTCTTTCTTTCTTTCTTTCTTTCTTTCTTTCTTTCTTTCTTTCTTTCTTTCTTTCTTTCCTTCCTTCCTTCCTTCCTTCCTTCCTTCCTTCCTTCTGTGACTATAATACAACTATAGATTTCATAAACTTCTTTACTGAATTTAACAGCTCCATCACTGATGCAGTAAAGTGTACTGGAAAAGAATTATATAAACCATTTTTTCCTCCTGTTTGTGGCTATGTCATCGAATCTGTGCTGTGCCACTTTTTTAGATGTTATCCTATCTTGCTTATTTAGAGCAGTTACCTAAAACTGTGTGAAGACTCTGCAAGTTTATTCTGAAATGTTTTATGTTGTTGATACGTGAAAAATTATCTGGCTTTGGCTTGTTGCATCTGATTTATTTATTTTTATCCCATCTCAATTATTTTTTTATATATAACTCAAGGTAGTAAACATATGATACCTAATATGCCTTCCTTCTCCCATTTTCCCTACAACAATCACCTTGTGAGGTGTATTGAGTTAAGTGAGGATAACCAGCCCCAAATGCCCCAGCTGGCTTTCATGTCAATTTCTAAGTCCCTACCCTCACCAGTGACTTTGTACTGATAAATGAAAGAAAGTAATGCAGACTTTATTTCCATAGCTGGGGTCTCATTGTATGAAAGAGAGGACCACAGAATAGTATTGAAAAGTTAATGGATAACTTTTTTGTATTGAACCTGTTTTATATACATTCATCTCTGAATCCCATGCATGTTCTTCCTTGGAATAAACTTCAGCAGATCAATCAGAGATGCATAAATCAGATGGAATATTTATTTGACATAGCAAAATGGGTAGAACTCGCACTTTGCCTTATAAGGTCCCAGGTTAGAACATCTGGTTTAAACTACAGGAGGATATAATTTCCAACATCCAGGTAAAAGGATACAAAGTATGGGATTTGGGGAAATTCAGTGTTCAGCCACTAACTAAACCAATAATAGAACAATAGTATACAGTTTTTAGATTGTAGTAAATTAATACTGTTGCTACTGATTTAATGGAGAAGCCATAGATGGAATGAATCTTTCTCCACAGGGGTTAAAAAATTGAAATGAAAGCTGAAAGGTTTTGTGTTCCTAGTTCTGAAGCAAAATTCAAATGTTAATCTGTATCGGCTATAACGAACACAGAGCACTTAACTTACTGGTGTTGATGTAGCAAAATCAGCACATTCATAATCACTGAACCTATAAATCCACGTTTTTCATGAAGCGGATGGAAAATTAAAGCTCTCCATTAATTTTATTAACTTCTTTTAAAAGGAAAACTGTCCGTGTTGCCTTGGAGATCAATCTGTTTGTATTCTCAACATGCCCCCTAGTGGTATGCATGGAAACTTGACAGGTTCAAATTTCAAAAATTTATGATGTTCTGACATCTAAAACTTTTAATTATCCAGAAAATCCCCTTAATTTTGGGAATTTTGCAATTCCCATTAGATTTACAGAATCTTTTAATAAGGTGTGCCTGGAGTACCCACTATTTTGTTTGTTTGTTTGTTTGTTTGTTTTTTAATCACCAGATGTGATCTGCTATTTGTTCAGTTTTGGAAACACAGTAAGACAAGGCAAAGGATGATATCTGGCTGAATGAAAAGTAGCCTTTAGTTCCATTTTTCCCTCTATGTGTAAGATCATCAGGGCTGGGATATGCTGTATATTGATTACGTGATTCACTTAACAACTGCAGTGATTTGCTTAACAATTGTGGCAAAAGTCATAAAATATGTGCAACACACTTGCAACCATCTTAGCAACAGAAATGCTGGTCCCAATTGTGTCAAGGACTGCCTGTATATAGGTTCACTGTGTGAGCATTTGATTGGAGATTCTAGATCTGGACTACCAAACTCCAGGCAATAATGAGATTGCAGCAGAGAGATACACAAAGCTCTAACTCTGCTGCCCTCTGGTGGCTGACTGGAGTTTTGCAGGTATGATTTGATAGCTTCAATCCTGATGATCTTGGCTGGATCCTTCTTTTTTCTTTAGACAAGTTACTGATATTTTCCCCCAGGCATGGCTTTTAAGTGAATTTGACTATATTAACATTATTTCTCAGAAAAAATATTATTTTTCCACTGTATATTTTGCTATGTGTATATGTTTTTTTAAGTTTACAAACTATAATTGCTCTGAAGGCCCATTCTAGGCCAAAAAGCAACTCTGAAATATTTATAAAAATAAGTGCATACTCCTGATAATGCATATCGATAATATTATATGTCAGGTATCTATCCTAACTGAAAAACTAGAGCTCAATTTATAAGTTACTGAGTTATAGTAACATTTTCATTACAGGTAGTGTTAATGGAAATATAACTTAATTACCATTTCATCCTTACAACAATTTGTCTTTTTTAAAGTTAGTCTTTTATTACTTTTAAAAGAATGCAGAGAAATGGAAGAAAACCCTTACAAACATTTAAAAAATACATGCATTGTCAAAGGAAGAAAACACATAGAAAATGTTTTTTAAGTGAAAAATACATCAAAAAAACAAATTGAAAACTTCCTGACAGTTACAACAATTAACCAGTGGAACAACCTGCCTCTAGAAGCGGTGAATGCTCCAACACTGGAAGTTTTTAAGAAGAGACTGGACAGCCATTTGTCCGAAATGGTATAGGGTTACCTGCCTGAGCAGGGGGTTGGACTTGATGACCTCCAAGGTCCCTTCCATTTTTATTATTATTATTATTATTATTATTATTATTATTATTATTATTATTATTATTATTATTATTATTAATCATATTAGTTGTAAATAATTACAGGTGGTGACCTAGAAACCAGGAGACTGTAAGTTCTAGTCCCGCC